AGAAAGCAACATTTTGTCATGTATTGCTAAACTCAGCTTTTTTTCTCATATTGATTGACATTCTTGTTATTCTATATCATTTTCTTTTTCTTCTTCTTCTCCTTCTCCTCCTCCTCCTCCTCCTCCTCCTCTTCCTCCTCCTCCTCCTCCTCATTGTCTTCTTCCTGTTTTTCCTCTTCTTCTTCTTTTTTCTTTCTTGCAGCACAGGAGACCATCCTGGTCCCTTACTTTTTATCAGTAATTCTGTGAATCCTTTAGGAGACTACATCCTGCATTTTTTGGTTTCGATGTGCTGTCACTCAAAGTGCCTAAAGCAGTGTAGCATATGCCAGTTAGGCTGGGCCAGTTGTATTCTTTCTCCTAGGAAATTTCGTACGGAGTATGAACAATGTTGTCATAATCATACTGCGTGATGTTCAGTAAACTCCCTGATTTACTGTCAGGATCAAATAAAAGTAGATATTTTAGGCCTTACAGATGAACTGTCAGTTACTTTAATTATGAAGTTTTAAACATTTAACACTGGCAGTTTTGCACAGAGGACCACATCCTTATTTATAGGCATTCATCAAGTGACAGCCATTTTACCCTGGTTTATTAGAAGGAGGAAGTCTGGAATTATATTCTAGGAAATTTTTCATGTCTTCCCTTGACAAGTTTTTATGGAAAATGTACAGAGATTTATAGTAGTAACTGGAAAGGAAGGTAAGTAGAATTAGTTTTGAGATTTTTAATTGAAGGCTCTGAATTGGGTGTATTTGAGTTTCTTACAGTGTTTTCATGACACTTTAAAAATTTATAAAAATTAGGAAAATACCGTGGGTTTTGGTTTGAATAATTGGTATAATATAAATGGAAAGCTTCTTATTTTGAGGGCTTTTATATACCTAGGAAAACAGCAGCATATTTTAAAATTTACAAATCTTTTGAAAATCTTTGAAGGCTAGTATATTGCATGTGGCAAGTGATGGATGCTGTTTTTAAATTAACATTGTTCATGTAGCAAATGTTCTGGGTGATATTTGTTACACTAAATCATTATACAAACTGTGATTTCCTGTACTTACAATGAAGAAATGGGAGACATGATGGTTAAGCAACTTGTCAAAGTTCCCACAGTTGGAGTGACAATGGAACTTTATTAAGCACCTTATTAGAACAACATACATAAGTCATTTATTTTAAAATTTGATGATAATAATGTTTATGTTTTGAGACAATAAAAAAGGCAAAGTATTTCATTGTTTTATAGTTTACATGATAGCAATAATTCTTACAGGATCTTAGTATGGAAAGTATTCTTATTTTATGTGTTTTCAGGGCTGGAGTATATTTTTGTTTCTGTATTCCTGACTTCCTCTGTAGGTGTTAGTAGTTATTAAAGAATGCATTAGTGAAGAAAATAAATATAAATCAACTACAACTTATAATGGAGAATAAAATGCTTCATATAGAAAAAAATTGGTCTGAAGAAAGTTTTAAAAAATATCATTATCATTAAACTTTCAAATAAAGTTTCTAAATGAAGAAGACTTATTTGGCAATAGGATATAGTAATATTATTTAAAGTGTGATATATTTTTATAACATTTACAGTATATTTAAAATGTTTTGTTTAATAATGGCTATTATCTACTTAAGATTTTCAGATCAACGTGTAAATGAAATTTCAGTTTTTCTTTTAATCTGAGTTGGAGCACAAGTATAGAGCATATTTATCAGAAACTTAAATGTTCCAAACTTGCATGTAAGAATGGGGAACATAATAGTATACATCTTTTCACATGGCATATTAACTGGAAAGTAAGAAAGCATGCATTACAGTCACTATATTTATTAAAGTAAGAATACCAAATAATTTTTACTTTATTGGTTTATCCTCAGTATATGAAACTTAGATATGTAGACCTCTTTACCTAATAAGAATCAAAATAGATGTGGTTCTATTTCAAGAATTTGTAATAATCCCTTCACTTTAACACATGAATGTGTTCAATATTGGCAGAAGAACACGTTGCTACCAAAACTGAAACAAGATCCTTGAAACAGAAAGGATGTTGCCATGGAAAAATGAAGTAACACTCAGTGCAGCTGTGATGCATTAATGAATAGGATATTTTTTTAAAAGATCATTTGTGTTTGGTGTGGCTCAGAGGGTCCCAACCAGATGGTTTCCATGAACATGATCTGACCCCCGGCTTCAGGACTTCTTACTGGCAGATTACTTCATTTTCTTTTCCTTGGATTGTCAGATCCTTACATTAATGCAGAATTTACTGCTGCAGATTTATATTCAGTAATATAAATCACTCCGCATTTTACATTAAAACCACAATTTTAGACATACAGTTTTAGCAGTTTTTTTAAAAGAGTAAAACAGTTTATGCAATAGCTTCAGTATATATATAATAGTTGTAACTTTATAATAATCTGTGTGATTTCGATTATACATACATGTTTTCTTATTAAAAGAATCTTCTCTATATATGAAAGTTTATTTATAAGAATTACTATGTATCTCATGGCAGTATACTGTATAGTGCTTAGATTGTTGAAATTTGTTGAAATTATTGATTCTTGAATCAGTGGAATTTGGAATATTGATGTTTTTATACATTTTGGCACTGTAAAAATTTTATTTCTAAGGACAAATATGTTTGTAGATGGAAGCATAGTAAACTAATCATCTCACATTTTATAGATCAGTTTTCAACACACACACACACACACACACACACACACACATATATACTATAAAGCGTTCATTGTTTTACTGTTCATATTTCGACCTTTTAATTTCAATTAATAAAATACATAGACTGGACGTATCCATTTAAATTGTAATGAATTATGTTAAATATGTTAAAACAAATTCAATCTTTGGTAATACTGACTTTTTTTGTTTGAGACAGGGTCTCACTGTGTAACTCAGGCTGGTCCTGAACTTTATGTTAGCCCAGTCTCACCTCAAAATCACATTCTTCTTTCCTCACCCTCTCAAGTGCTGGGATTACAGGCATGTGTCAGCATTTTTAGCAATGTGCTGTTATTCCTATTTCAGAATAGATAATATAGACTGTGATAATAAACCAATAATCATATGATACTTAACTGATCAAAGATTCAAGATAAAATTTTAAAACTCCATTGTCAGCTCTGATTTCGTAAATCAGTACATTTATTTTTGTCAGAATTTTCTTGTTTTCCTCCCAGAACTTGTCATTTCTCTATGCTCAGAAATGTGCAGCAAACACACACACAGGTGTATTTATTTTTGGCCTGCCAACTTATCATATTAAGGAATTTGACACTCATTTCCTATCATTATGTTCTCATTAAGGAGTATATTAACCATGAAAGGTATTATTTTACCCTTCCTTATTGTTTGAGAGATAGAAGGATTTGAAAATGGATGGAAGTAGCGAATTGCATATTTTTTCTCATATGTGGAAACTTAATATTTTTTTTCAAAACTGAAAATAGAACATGAACTGTCATCAAATGGCTAGGGATGCAAGGAAAAGGGATATAGGGAGACAAACAAGGAACTATGGGGGGGAGATAGATTCAGATGTATGTATGGAAATATTATACTGAAATCCATTAATTTGTTCAGTTAGTATGATTGGATAATTACAGTTTTAAAAAGCCAAAAAATCATTTTCCTTTCTAATTGAATTTACTAGAGTATCTAAGACTTATGAAGCCAAACTTTTCTTTAAATATCACAGTATCCAATAACAGCTTTACATACTCTTTTATTTATTTACTTATTTATTTATTGTAGAACATCAACAATTTGCAGTTTAAATTTTCTTAAATAATTCAGGTATCCCATAGTGTTGAATCAATTTAATATCATAGGCACAATATAATTACTGTGGAGGAGCCAGCTAAGATCAATAGATTTTGATGTACTTTGTTCTTGAACTAGGAATTCACACTAAATTCAGTTTTGTTTAGATTTCTTTAGTCACAGCTATCTAAAACCTGATAAATAACTATATTGCTGTAATTTTAAAAGACAACATAAAATATTCATACAAAAACCACAATTTAGGCAATAATTTGAAGGATGATAAAGCAAGAAACAGTGTTCTAATCTTTATAATTTCTAATTTTTCTTTAGGTATTTGCTTCTATGTAATAG